CCGCGGTACCTGGCTGAGCTGTGACCTCCGGCCCGCTGTCTGTACCCCAAAGCCCGGCCCTTGTGCTGCTGCCTGTGGCCCTCCGCTGACGCGGTCCCTGGCCTGTGTGCTCTCGGGGAAGCCGCGGAACGTGAGCCGAGTCGTTGGGCGCCCTGCATTTTTGGCTCTCTCCTCTGCAGGCCCGGGGTTGTCCGTTTATCTCTAAAATGACGGTTCTCCTTGCAACGGTTCGCTGAGTCTCTTAAAAAGGCTGCGAGACCGAGGGTGGCTCTCAGGGCCCTGCTGTCTAGCTCCCGTGCGGTGGGAGGCGGGATGGAGGTTCCCGAGATGATAACAGCCCTGTTCTCAGGGATGTTTTTAATAATTTCTTTATAGATTTTAAGGATCACCTAAATAAAGTGTATGAAGCCATCGAGGAAGCAGACTTTTTGGCTATTGATGGCGAATTTTCAGGTACAGTTAAGATTATTTTGTGAACGTCATAGATTTGGAATTAGGGGTGCTGGGGTGGTGCCATACCCCCTGACCTGAAGTGGTTTCCTTATATACGGGATTTACAGTTTAGTTCAAGGGCTCTCGGCATCCCTGCTATAAAAATTGTTTCAGCACCCCTTGTGAAGGGGGAGTATTAGCAAATGGGCTAACAGAGATCTGCTGTATGAATCTGCAGCTACTTTGCTTATGGACTTCCCTTTGCTGTTAGATGTAGTAACTGTCTTTAGAATTTTCTGTTGTTCTAAGATGCCTGAATAGGAAACTGAAATACTTAAAACAAAAGCGAGGTCAATGTTAAATTTAACACTGTACATATGGGTTATGTATTGCATAAGAGATGCCAACAGTCACTTGACAATATTTTTCACACTCCTGTTGGTTTGTCACTTCGTTGACTCTGGTTCTGGCTCCAGTAATGTGGCTTGAGACCCATCAACATCTGGTCATTGGTACCACATTCCATTCTATCAGGATTATTTATCTAACTGGTGAATGACACAAGTGAGGCTTTCATAGTTTTTCCTAGAACATGGCTTCGCTGCTAGCGTGTTATTTTCTCTGAACTCACCAGATTGTTTATGTAGAATGACATAGATTAATTGGCTTTTGTTTAAAGAGGGATGTTCACCTGTAATGGAAGACGTTTATTTTCAGTTGAGTGGTAACTTATACACATATAATGTAATATTCTGTTAGTGACATAGTGGCAGACTTCTTAATAATTGTCATTTGTTGCTGCTCCTCACCCAGTGTCTTTAAATAGCTTTATTTTTATAAAAAGAACAGGAGTACTTGTGGCACCTTAGAGAGGTGCCACAAGTACTCCTGTTCTTTTTGCGGATACAGACTAACACAGTTGCTAATCTGAAACCTTTATTTTTATGTAATATTTCCTATATTTTTTTAGGAATCAGTGATGGGCCATCTGTTAGCACATTAACCAATGGCTTTGACACACCAGAAGAAAGGTATCAAAAACTTAAAAAGGTAAAACTTAAGAGTTAAAATGAAACTATTTAAGTATTTTGCCATCCTTGGTAGGAGGTGCAATGTATCTGAGACTTGAACAAACTGTTAGATTTGTTAGTAGTATATCAGTATGTCATAATAGGCATTATTCTGAGACAAATTAAGACTTTTGCTCCATTCTAAATAGTACTCATAGATTAAAAACTTGAATTCCAGCAGGAAAAATAGGCTAAATGTTTTTTAACTTTGCCTGTAGTCTAATATTTGGCTACTTATGGGATGTTGGCAGGGAAACAGTGGAGACAAGTAGGATTTTAAATTTACATTAGGTTAAAATAGTCACCCTTACTTCTGTGCTGCTGCTGGCATGGTGCTGCCTTCAGATCTGGGCGCCCAGCCAGCAGTCACTGCTCTCCACTCTGCCTTCAGAGCTGTGTGGTGGTATATGTACTTGTGTGTATGTTTGTGTAAATTACTACAGACACAAAGAAGGGGGACCCAATCAAATAAGCTTGAGAACCTTGTGCTAGACAAATAGTGGAAGGTGGGAATCTGATATCTGGCCTTGTACACAAGGGGAAGGGGGCAGGGGGAAGGGAGGAGGAAACCACACACCACCAAACAAGAACCCTTTGGGCAGCTGCCAGATGAAATGGGGGAAAAGAGAGGATTGCAACTTGGTGTTAGGGCTTGTTTAGATGAACAGTTAAGATGCAGCAATCTGGGGTGTAAATCTACAGTGCTCTAGCATGTCCCACAATTATTGTCCATATGTACTTACTGCTGCACAATAACACAAAGTGCACTAGGGAATTTTTAGTGTGCAGCCGCAGCAGCAAGGTCCACACAGACTATCACTGCGTGGCATGCTGAAGCGCTGTAGATTTATACCCCCATTTGCCGTGCACTAACCTACCATATAGACATGCCTTTAGAAATGGTGTTGTGGCAACAGCTTACACTTAACAACTTTGACTATTGAAGCTGTAATAGGTATCCTTTTTTTCAAAATACTATTATCTTCTACTGGAAGTGCTTAAATTACTTCTCAGATCTTGGGGTTAGGTTGACTGTCAGTCATGAGAAGGAATATGCCAAAAGCTTTCAGTACTATTTAAAACTAAGATTATATCTCAGAAAGGGAAGGAAGCCTTTTCTTGTAAAATACTTGCTAAGCTTATGATCATGCATATTTGCAATTAGCTATAAAAGCTACTACATTTGTCCCTTTAAAGAGTCTGTTGGCCCCAACACTAGATTTTTAAAGCAAGAATTTACCAAACTTAAATCATATATCTGTATATTTTATCTGCTATTGTTAGAGGTTACAGTTAGGATTATTAGAATTCAAGATATTAGAAGAATAGTTCTATTTTGCATTTTGTTTACTTTGTGGATTTTTTAGCTTATTGTGTACAGTTCCACTGTCTCCGCCAGAGTAGTCTATCAGGCTCACGTCATGTGGGTTGTGTGAATAACAATGGAGAAGAGAAACAACTTTTGGAAAGATAGCTGTAACATTAGAAAAGCTGTCAGGAGGTACTTGAGGCATGTACATCTTCAGAAACTACTTACTTGAAAAAAGCAACAGAGGGTCCTGTGGCACCTTTGAGACTAACAGAAGTATTGGGAGCATAAGCTTTCGTGGGTAAGAACCTCGCTTCTTCTTGCATCTGAAGAAGTGAGGTTCTTACCCACGAAAGCTTATGCTCCCAATACTTCTGTTAGTCTCAAAG